CCCCAAAACCCCAAAACCCCAAAACCCCAAAACCCCTTAGCACCTTTCAGTAGTTGGGGAAGAGATATTATAATAAATTCTCAAAATCCTAAAATGGCGCATAAATCTGGAGCAAGCAGTCACAGCAAGGCTAAAACTTTGAAGAGGATAACAGAAACCATTAAAACAGACAGAAGATCACTTGTAAGTCTTTTTAATTCAAAATATTATCAGAAGAGAAAATTTAATTTTTATACAGCCAGCAGAGATCAGCTCTTATAATACATTTACCGAGGAAAATATTTGCTTGACAGAGAACGATGGCGTTAATCTCTCCTTCAATGAAGTGAATACCCAGCACACTGGCCAGAGCATAGTGCGGCATGACAGTAACTTTGCCCAGGCTATGTTTAATTTCATAAAATCCTTTTTAGGAGTTGGTGTAATCACTATTGCTGCTTGAGTAAAACGAGCAGGAATAGGAAATGCCGGTATCTGATTACTATTTACAAGCTCATTATCTATACTTGGCACTAACCTCACCATTAGCGCTAGAGAGAAACTTTTAAGAGATGATTATGAGAACGAAGATTATGCAGGGAGAAAGACACTTGACTCTGTCAATATACCCAGAGATGCCCAGAGCCAAAGAAATCTTGAAGGAGAAGACATAGAAGAGGACAGACAGGACCAATCATTTCGTACTTTACCAAATCTAGATAATTTCTTTTAACACAACCCAACTCATATTGCATAACAATTATCTAAAATCGTATGCTGAAATGGGACAGCGATGATTTGGAGATTTTGGGTACTGCTTCTGTACAATTTTACTTGCTGTTTCCCAACTCATAGTGATCACAGCGTACATGAAGTTCTTTGATGAGTACTTCAAGTCATATGCGATGCTGGCGGCCTTGATCCCAACATGTATGTTTATGGACTTGAAATCTATTTCATTCTTCTCAACTATCTCTATATTTCTGATAGTGCATTCCTTGTTCCTGATACTTGGTGTTTCAATTAGTGATATTCCAGACCAAAATTGGGAGAATATAACCTATCTCGAATACTTCGAATTCCCCTTATTCTTCGGAGCAGCTATTTATATGTTCGAAGGTGACATGGTGTGCATGAATATACAAGACTCAATGAAACGTCCACAGGATTTTAAAGTACTATCTTTTATATGCTTAATCTTCATTACCTTTATGTGTATTGTAGTCTGCTATGTTCCATATCTTGCATATGGAGACGATATTTCCTCACCTATAATCAATTCTATTTCAATTGAAGCAGTAAGAGATTACTTAAAGGTTGCGTATACAGCTGGTGTCGGACTTAGCTGACCTCTAATGGTATACCCTTTATGAGAAATCTGATATCGCTCAGTCATACTAGACCCTTATGTATCATTATTCAAGAATCGACCAATGTCAAAATTCTACATTTGAGCTGTAGCTTCTCTATGCTTTGGATTTGTCTTCAGTAAGGTAATCCCTGGAATAGAAAGTTTCATTAACATATCTGGAGGAATCATTGGCCCTCCCTCAACAATCATAGTTCCGGTAGCCTTTTATTGGAAGGCATATGGGAGCGATATCCCAAAATATGAGCTTGCCATATACATAATAATCTGTCTTGTGACAGGGATAATGGGTTTCATCTCTTTTGTTGCAACAATCATTGATGAAATTGACACTCATTAAAACTCTTTTCCAAACTTCATATATTTAGTGGGGTTTTGGGGTTTTGGGGTTTTGGGGG